GTGTAGAACACAGAGGCGATCTTGTCCTTGTCCATGGAGTGACTGGAGCTGGGCTGTAAGTACATGAAGATACTGGTCCCATAGAAAATGGAGACTGCGGTGAAGTGGGAGGCACAGGTGGACAGAGCCTTCCTATGTCCTGCACCTGAGCGCATCTTTAGGATGGTGATAAAAATGAACATGTAGGATATTAAGATAACTAGGAGAGCAAAAAAGATATTGAAGCTGGCAATGTAAATAAGAACCAGGTCATTCACATATCTGTTAGAACAAGAAAGAATCATAAGTGCTGGCATATCACAGAAAAAATGGTGGACCACATTGGACTTACAGAAAGAGAGAATGAACGTGTTCCCAGTGTAGATGGAAGCACTCAAAAATCCACAGACATAGCAGCCTAGGATCAGACTTGCACACACAAGTGTTGTCATGGTGGTGGTGTAGTGCAGGGGCTTACACACKGCTGCATAGCGGTCATAGGCCATTGAGGCCAGGAGGCAGTTTTCCACAGTAGCGAARCCTGTTACAAAGAACATCTGAGCAGCACAAGCATTGTAGGAGAAGACCTTGTCTCCAGGAAAGAGCCCAGCCATGACCATGGGTGTGACAGCTGAAGAGTAGCACAAGTCCACCAGAGACAGGTTACCCAGGAAAAAGTACATGGGAGTGTGGAGAYGGGAGTCCAAGACAATCAACAGGATCATCCCCAGGTTCCCAGCCAGAGTGATGGTGTAGATGAGGAAGAAGGTCACAAAGAGGGGAAGCTGCAGACCTGGATCAGTGGTCAGTCCCAGCAGGATGAACTGAGTCACTTCTGTCCTGTTCTCCATCAATGTTACCTAAGAATTTCTAAATGTTCTGTAATCATGAGAAGAAAGGAACAGAGCGATAAAGAAACTGAATTGAATACGAAAGTATTGAGTGCAAAATGTATTGTTCTATTGTAGCAKCAACTTGTACCCTAACATTCTCCAGAAATAGCATGGGCTTAAAAACCAAACTCAGTGTTTTTTCATCATATAGAGAAAATAATATTTTGAATCTGGGGACTCATAGGTAATTAAACTCCCTATTTGGAAATTTTATCCATTTGTTAACTGATATGTAAACAATTTAATAACTTTATAAAAAATTGATTTTTCTGGATGAATTTATGGGCCAATCCATTTCTCCTAAGCTCAATAAAARCTGATTCTTTTGTATTTCCAACCTGACGGTTTAGGTGTGCATTTCCTGTCTCCTGCCAACAACATTATGAGTCTGTTTGGTTGTTATACTCATGCAAATTTATTAGGTAAATTATTCACATCCACACAATATTATTTATCAGTCTCTGTTCTAGACCCATGCTAGCATTAAACCCATGTTCAGAGGTTCCTAAAGCTAAAGGTTGAAAGTGAATTTCAATTAGTGTTTGGGGTTTCATATTGAACTGTGGGAGTAATTGATTAGGTGGTAATGGAATTTTGTTCTGTATATGAAGGTATATCATCAGATAATCTGACACAGGATTTAGAAAGAGATGTAAACCTTCCATTTACTAGCTAAGACTCATTGGTCCTAGACTAATTCCTCTGAACTTCAAATTTCCATTTGCAAAATGAAGACAGTAATGAGACCCACTTTGAGCACTATTGTGATAGCTAACAACRTAATACATAAAGAAAAATAAAAAGCACATCTTTTTAAAAAAATATTTATTTTTTAGTTTTAGTTGGACACGATACCTTTATTTATTTATTTTTACGTGGTGCTGAGGATCGAGCCCCGGGCCTTGYATGTACTAGGTGAGCACTCTACCATTGAGCCACAATCCCAGCCCTAAAAAGCACATCTTGATGAGCGCTAGCTATCATTTTATTATTAGGAGGGGATAATGGTTCACATTTGGTTTGGGGGGTTTTT